ATGCTACACCCACGCTTCTTTTGATTCACACAGCAGCTGTTGAAATCGCTGGAGCAACATGAGGTCTGAGTAAATGTCACAGGAGACACAGAGGAGAGTTGATGACAGTCTTCTTAGGACAAAGTAGGTGACAAACAAAGAAGAAACATTCGATTTTAAAAACAGTAGATCTTTTTTGTTTTGGTCATTTTGGACCTTATTTCATCCACCAAAAACACGTCTACCCTGGCATTTCTTTGTGATGCACTGTTCTCTTTAAAATAACACCATGTGATAAAACAGTCGGACCCTAATTAAGACAGAATTGCAGAACACTGAAGCCACCAAACACTACAAGAATAAAGTAAAACCAGTTAAATGGAACTTTGAGAAAGAAACAACTTATTAAATGGACGATTTCCACTCCTTTTTGTTTCATTTGCAGGATTGAACTTATCAAGAAGTCAACTGGCCTGGGCCCTTCACTGAAGGCTGCAGGCCGGTGTGTGTGGGTCACGAGATATAACACCATAACTCCTGCAATGCAAAATTACAGAGTAATACAGTAGAGTGCACACACACACACACACACACACACACACGTGTTCCAGCCAACATTTTGTTTCTGACACAGAGATACAGAAATACATTATTTTATGTAAATCAACAATGTTTGTGGCCATCATGGCTTCACATATATGTTGATAATGAAAGCCCCTTCCTTTACTGTGTGGCTTCTTGTTTGTTGTTTACCTGCTGTTGCCTACATGAGCAAACAGGTAAGTTGTGTCTGTGAGGGAAAATTCAATATTGTCATACTAACCTTCCTTAAGCCATCTAATTCTAGCAGTTACAACAACGGCAATTAAGCTATTCTGTGCAAGCATTGAAAGAATAGTATAGTGAGCATATAATCACTTGATTGCAAGGCTGCTCTTTTGAACACTATCTGCTTGGAGGAGTGTGTACTCTTGCTGATACTGTTGTCTGTAAGAGCATACTGATACATTGGAGCAGGCCGTTGAGACATTTTGACCACAACTCTTGAGACAGGAAGAGGCGTGGTTACTTTGGAAAACATATCACTTTTTTTTTTCCTGGAACAATAACATGATACCATATGTATTATGTCAGAGATGTTACAATGTCTCTAAATGTAGGCTAAACATTATAGGAATGTGTAAGTAGGCTACTAACAGATTCTTTTCTCACTGTTTTGAAAGGTTCAGCATCAGTTGTGAATAAATGAAAGAAGCAATTCAGTTTCTGTTTCACCTTATCTGAGACAGAGTTCTCTCTAATGTTCCTGTCTCGCGTGAACAGTGTTGGGTTTTGACGGAGTGCCATGGTGGGGTACACTGTGCATTGCGCTGGGCTGTGGCTTCATCACAGCCTTGGTCGTTTGGTTCGTTGTCTGTCCATACCTGAAGAAGAAAATCGAACGTGAGTTAATCTTACTCTTTATCTTGCACTTTAGCAAAACAAATGTTTTTTGCTCTGTAATGAAAAATGTAGTTATTTTGGCTGAAATTGCACACCAAATTCTTGAGCAGCTATAAGAACAACAATGAAAATAGATTTTTCAAATTATATTTATGGTTAATAGGATATTTTGAAGTTAAACGTTTTGTCTTGCACAAACAAGCTTGTATAGGCCTTGCCTGAAATGTGTGTCACTTGATCTCAGTTGAACACTGTCATGTAATTCAGGAGAAACAGCCGCTGCTCCCTGTGAAACTCCACTAATGGAGAAGAACTCCAGCAAACGTGCGCCAGCAGAGCAGCCCTCAACACCTCGTGACCCTAAACACCAGACTCCGCCAGCAGATAGTGAGAAGGTGGCTTTCAAACTTGGAGGCTCAGAGGAAGCCGACTTGGACAACAATGACATGGAAACCAAAGACTTGGATTTCAGTAATGGTGAGAAATGAATGGCTTGAAATGAATGACCTAATTTACGCTTTATTCGTATTAATTGTAAATGTCAAAATATTGACCTCACTGGTTATATAACTACAAGTAATTCTGACTAAGTTCACCAATTAAATTACAATATTTGTTTTATTTTCATAGGTCTAAATGGCACTGTTGGCCCCATGATGATCACTGATCCTCACAGTGGACGGTCCCACACGATCCACAAAGATTCTGGCCTTTACAAAGACCTGCTACACAAGCTTCACGTGACTAAGGTCGGTGACTGCATTGGTGACAGTGATACAGAGGAGCGGCCCATTAGGAGGAACAACAGCTACACCTCCTACACCATGGCAATTTATGGCATTCAAGGAGATCCTAAACACAAGGACCAGGATGGTGAGCTGCAAGGAAGACTGAGGGTGGGCAGTTACAGCAGCTACAGCTCAGCAGTGACCAATGGAAGTGCAGTTCAGGAAGAGAGCGTGACTCAGGAAGCTGGCAGGGGCATCGCTCTGGAAGAGGATGAGCTGGAGGTCGACCAACCAGCCGTCTCCTTGCTTTTCCAGTTCCTGCAGATACTCACAGCGTGCTTTGGCTCTTTTGCTCACGGAGGGAACGATGTCAGGTAGGCAAGGGGGGTTTTCTCCTGAGGAATTTATGTATGTGCTGTTTCTGAGTTGTTACATAAGCCATTTCTATCACTAGCAATGCGATTGGTCCACTGGTGGCCCTCTGGCTTGTGTATGAGAGCGGCTCTGTGGTGTCCAGCGCACCTACCCCCATTTGGTTGCTTCTTTACGGCGGAGTGGGCATCTGCGCTGGACTCTGGGTATGGGGACGTAGAGTGATGCAAACCCTCGGCAAAGACCTTACACCCATTACACCCTCCAGGTATGCCACACATTTATATCCTATAACAACTGAAATTCTAATATATTTGATAGTCTAAGCGTACTAACATATTTTCTTCCAATTTAGTGGATTCAGCATTGAGCTAGCATCAGCACTCACAGTTGTTGTGGCATCCAATGTTGGTCTTCCTGTCAGCACAACCCACTGCAAGGTAACGATACTTAAAACTCTCAAACTTCATCCTAAATAGAGTATGATAATCAAAAGTAGGTTCCGATTTGAGCATGTGTTAACACAGTATTGCATATTCATGAACCCAATGGTTTTTTATATTGACACAGGTGGGATCTGTGGTGGCTGTAGGATGGCTGCGCTCCAGGAAATCAGTCGACTGGCGTCTGTTCAGGAACATCTTCATCGCTTGGTTTGTGACGGTTCCTATCTCTGGGCTGATCAGTGCTGCCATCATGGCGCTCTTCATTTATGTAGTTCTGTGAGCCTCACACTGCCCAGCTACGCTGGGACTCCAACTGACGGACTGCAACCAACAGTTTTTGTTTGACTGACTTATTAAACTGTGCTAACAAACATGTTCCAGTTGATTTCTTTTAATGATGTTTATAATATAATTCAAAGTGTTTTTCGAGGTCAAGCCAATGATGTTATCTCATATAGAATATGTCCATGAATGATGTAGGATCTAATAACACTGTTCAAATATCCTATGATTTTGTATATTCCAATGTATATTTGTATAATAGCAATATGTAATAAAAATCAAATAATTCAATTTTCACTGACAAAGAACAAACAGTTGTATTCTATGTTTGCGTATTTGGATGTGATTAAACAACGCTTTGCTTGATTTTAAGGAATTTCAATGTATTTTACTCGATGTTCTCGATTTTTGCATATTTTCTTAAATTCCCCTTTTAATGTACTTTCTCAGCCTCACACTTTTTTGTAAAACACACTACTGTGTATGTGCGTGTGCTAAAAATGCCTAAAAATTAGGCTACCTATTATGTAGACTGGCCTATTTCAGGATAATGTATATGTAAGCAGCACTGATGTAGCTGGCAAAGGTGCAGTTACTTTTATTTACTACTGCCAAATTAATTCGTAAAAATACATCATCAACCAGTCGCTCTGCAAAAATACCTCTCAAATTATTCCACAAAGTTGGACACTAACTTTAGAGTTTAGTTTCCTGCAGAAGGTTTACTAACACCAAACGGCCACACGGTGGTGCTCTTCTCCAGATAATTGATGCCGTTGGTAGGATTTGAAGTGGATGAGCCTTCGCCATCGTGGTCTCTCCCAGATTCATCAGAAAGATTTGATCTTTCTTGCCCAAATGTAGCCTAAGGAAACCTACATGCACTGGGGGGAGTTCCTTTGATTTTGCATCTGTCGTGCAGAGTAGTATACGATATGAAGCTAGCAAGTGAACCTGGCTGATTAAGCCAATTTAAAAGCATGCCCTGCATTTTAACAAAGGGGAATATTTCTTAAAAATACTTCTATTCTGTACAGTTCATATTCTGTCCCAGTCCACATTCACTGAATATAAGTGTGAGCAGTGACCTTTATCATAAAACACACATATCCAAAGCTATTATCCGAGGGTCTTTCTGTCTGCTGAGGATTGCCAAAAAAATCTTTTTTTTCTACCAATTGCAGATACATTATTTTGCCACCAGATGGGACTGTGTTATCACCAGCAAAAATATCCATATCATTCAACCACGTAATGTTCTTTACAATTTTAATTCAGACATTTCCACCTCTCTGCTTACTGTCGAAAGCATCTAACCAAATAATCTGCATCTGCATATTAAAAATCCCCATCATCCATATGTAGGTTTTATTGTTGTTCACAGTTCTTGAGAAAGGTTGTATTATTATGTAGCAAATACATCAGCACCCTCATTTCAATGAAGAAGAGTCAAATAAGGCAGAAGACCAATAATAGACCACCAATAAAAATAAATGCTTTTGTTTTTCATCCTTTTTACTATTTGGAAGCACCAAAAATAAATATGTCTGTATATCTAATCTTTACCCGTTAAAGACTAACATGTCTGTGTGGGAGTCAGATTTCTCCCTGACCATTTAGTAAGATGGAAATGTTTGGGGGATGAGTGTGGTTTTTTACTTCTTCTTTCTCACTAAGTGAAATCATGTGTCAGCAGGGGCTTTATTTTGAAACCAGATAGCGGAAGTTGTATCGTTATGTTTTGATGTAATTGACACCAAAGGGGATTTCAACGGCGACCCACACAGGTGCTTCTGGACATTTGTGCGTAATTTGCGGGCGGCATGAAAATGCGTGTTTACGATGTTAATGCATGCTGTTTGGCGTAACAGGCAGAAATGCGCGTCTACAGCGGAATGGCTCTGCACCTCACACACTGACAGCCGTGCAGCTGGGGCATGCATTCACTTTAACCCAGCAGACCAACAAGCTGGTGTGTAGTCTGGAGCAGATCCACGGCCAAACGACGTCTTGGTTTTCTGCAATACCACCATTGGAGCTGTAGGAGGTGGACTTTAAGGATAAGAGAAAACGTACAAATCCCTGATGTGAAAAGGCAGGTGCGTTTTAGAGATTCGCACCTCGGTTTTTTTTTTTCTTTTGCAATCTGATTTTCGACCCGGAGCCTGTGATATGCAGCCTATACCTGACAGATGTGTGGTACCAGCACCACAACTGCAGCCTACAGGTCTGTATCGCCCGAATCAATTTGTGCGTGTTGTGCATGCTATACGAAAAACAATTCCGTATGAGCCGTAAGATTAAATCCCATGATAAATCATAGAAGCAACAAAGACAATGTCCCTGGCTTTGCATTTACTGCACCTGAACAGCTTTCTATGTGCAAAATGTCAGAGTGGTATTCTGCCTGCTGGGATTATGATAGCATCTGGCTGTTTATGTACACCGCTCTGTCCCCGCTACACCAATCTGATCACAATCACAATTATTTTTGCCGCTGAAACAGCTCATATACATTTGTCACTGCAATTTAAACAGTGTAAAGAGAATTTCCAAGAGGCACAGGCCACTAATGGGCACAGCAATGAGCTTCTCTGAAACAGTGCTTGACTGTTTTAGAAATGTCTGGGATAAATCACAGCATTTGTTTACCGGTGTGTTTCTGTTCCTGTGCTTTTGTTTAGAGTGTGTCTCCTCTCTACCTGCTGCTGATCTGCTGTGGTTGGCTGTGAAGCACTGAGGCTGCCACAGCTGCAAATCTCACCATCATCGTCGTCAACGTTTGCCACTTCAAACACGACAAGACACCAGAGGACAGCTAGGCTGCTTTTGGCTGATCAAAGAGCCAGCAGTCACAAAGCACCTGTAGACGATGACTCCAGCAGAGCTGCTCGCGTGAAAGCAGCATGAGATAATTGAGGAGTACTATACTAATCGCTGATTCAAGCTTTTTCTGTCTGGCGCTGATGAAACTGTTCCAGTGTGTCAGTTGACTGGCAGGGTTGCAGTGCTGTTGTAGCCCTGGACGTAGCCAGCAGCTGAAGCGCAGACACCTCAAAGGAGATGGCTCGTCCAGGATCAGGGTTGCTGCTGCCCAGCAACGGGCTGGGATACCCCCCTCAGAACCTGGCCAGGGTGGTGGTCTGGGAGTGGCTGAATGAACATGGGCGCTGGAGGCCCTACAGTGCAGCGGTTTGCCACCATATTGAGAATGTACTGAAGGGAGATGCCCGGGGAACTGTAGTGCTGGGGCAGGTGGATGCCCAGCTCTCTTCATACATCATCGACCTGCAGTCCATGCACCAGTTTCGACAGGACACAGGTAAGAGGCGTGGCAATATCCTGTCTATGCACAAAGATGTCACAGATGGGTGTGTCAACGAATGGCCAGATGATGTGGGTGGTCGGGATGATTACCCAGTACCTCTAACATCTGAAAGAGTTAAATAAATGAATCATGTTTGGCTGTCGTCAGCACAAATAATGTCATATGATCACATTGGGGACCGATTACAACAGAGCCAGCCTTGATGTGGTTTCAACACAAATGTTATGTAACTTTCAGGGGAATAAATAAGTCCTGAATGTCCCATCTGCTTTGGGACTCGTGTACGTAGATGAGCCAAGAAGTGTTGCAACAAACGGGACTTAAAGATGATGTTTAGCAATGATTTATTCAGTCGGGAGTGTCTTTATGCGGCTGCTGGAATGCCACAACCTTCCCAAAGGTCACCATGTTGGAGGGGCTGTGCATTCATCGGGCAAATGAGTGCTGTAGCTCGGTGCGACGCTTCTCACGCTTCTCATCTGATTGTATTCATCAGCTGTGTTGTCATTCAGATGTGAGCATGGCAATCACAATAGTGGTCGGTGATAAAGTCCCTGGACACAGTAACTGTATGAGACTAACCAATAATACACTCCACATGGAAAAACAGTTTATTAAAAAACCTGCTAATATCAGCAATATTCCACTATACCTAAACTACCGAGTGGCTAATCAAAGAGTTTATACGTGAAATGTGGGTTCTGCAGGAGAGCGTGGGACCAACGTAGACTGGAGATTAATTACCTCTGTCCATAACAGTAGTATAACCTTTGCTTTGTTGACTGTAATTCCCTCTAATGACTGCTGCCTTTTTAAAGAAGACCAGATGTTTTTGTGCTGTGCTCCACCAAGGCTCCACACACTCTCTGTGTCCTGCTCTGTGTGTGCAATCACCTTCCTGCTCTCCCAGCGTTAGAGGCAAAGATATGGGGAAAGTTTTAGACATCTAGTAGAAGCAGCAGTGGACAAATATCAGCTGCCTGAATTATTGTTCGAGTCTGATTCAGCTACACATCACTGTGTTCGAGTCAGATATCAATCAGGGTGACTCCTGTGTTAGATGCTCTCGGAACAGGTCGCGTCAACAATAAAAAAACAATGTGTCATCAACTCATTGATGTGAAGCATGAGCAGTAAAACTCTCACTGTTAGTCAGAGACGAGTCTCTTATTTGAAGGCATTTACAATATTAGTGCATATCAAGAGGCACAGGGAGATATACACATGGGACATACAGAAGGTGACCTCACTGTGCATAAATCTGCATTATTTCACCTTCCATTAATTAGCAAATCTTCATCACATTTGCATTAATACATATTTGTAGATTTAGATTTAGCCAGTGTTATTCAGAACCCAGAATAATAACAAATACAGCTCACACTTGTAAACGTCCTTGGAGAAGCTCCGTCTGGCCTGATCATGGTTAAAAATTCAATGTTTCTCTAAATATATAAAAACTGCAAAAATACCAACAACTGTAATACGTTTTAGTTACGTGTGTTTTTATGATAACCGAACTCTACAGATGGGCGTTGCAAGCTAGCTCAGGCTGTACATTCTGTGGTATGTGACACTGGGCGAAGACATGTTTGGCCTTCAGAAATAGACATTTACATCAAAATAACGTTTTAAAAGATGACGAATGGATAGATGTTTTACATTTTTTGATTTAAAAAAACAAAAAAACAAAAAAAAAAGAAATTGAATTATCCTTTTCTGATATCACTTGTGATACCAATGTTGTTACATTAATGCTGGACAGGACACTTGTGTTGACGCATTTAAAGGTACATTTCATTATTAAATCATCAAAAGAAATCCCAACATGTAGACAATAGGCAAGTATTATGTATTCTTTGATCCCTGCAACATTTATAGAAGGGCTACATAAAAAAATTCAAAGCCAGATGTGAAGGCTACTGATGCATGGAAAGGGCCTGGAACCCTATATGAAAGTATATTGATGGAACACTAAATGTATTGACTATTTACAGCTTGATATAGCAGCATTTTTCTATTCTTTATGAAGAAATAGAGTTTAGAATGCTGAATATGAGAGTGTTAGTATTTCTTCATGACTGTCAGGAGAGTTTTAGTATAGTTTTGGAGGATTTCTGCTCTTGGTGTTGGTGTCGGTGTCTTCCCCTCGGTAGACACCAACACCAGAGCAGCACATGTGTCTGGGGTTGACTGGCTGCGAGATGAGCCACTGAGCCATTTGTCAGACATTACCACGGCGCTCGGGCTAGGCCTGACGTCTATCGGCCCTCATTGTGCCGTTTGGTGCGATATCTTCCCCCTCGGCTGAGATAAACCCGTCACAGCATTGCCAACCCGGACACCCGCTGCCTCCTCTTTCTCCTCTTTCCTCCTCCTCTTTCCACTCTCCTTCCCTGTCCCCAAACATGAGCAAACCTCTACCCGGCCACAGCCATCGACCCGAGCTCCCATGGGGCCTAGCTTCCAGGCTGTAGTGATGTTGCTTACACAAAGGGCCCCAGTGAGTTTGTTTTTGAGTGGAATATGATGCATCTGTTTCACATCAGATGTTTGCTATATTTGCAGCTCAGCGCGTCACCCATAGCCATTTGCTCTGTTGCAGGCTTATGGAGTGTCCCTGTGTGGAACCCCATTTTGTCTCAGAGCCAGTGATGTCATCCTCTGAGGCTTTCTTTTTGGCAAAAGCTGGAAAGAGAGTTGAGTGTTCTTGGTGTCCCCTGTGTGTTTATATGTCCTTGTTTCTTTACATCTGTGAGTTTGCTGATGATGGTGCACTCTGCCCGCTGTGGTGTTTGTGTGCTGTCCCTGCAGGCTGTGTGGGGGTGCTGTGCTCCCCCTGTGGGTTTTGGGAGGAGCTCCTGTGGGTGGGAACCAGGCAGAGTTACTCCGACTAATGAGACAGCAGCTATAGTTTATCTCCATGGCTCCCTCTAATCAGAGTATCATTACCACAACGCACGCACCAAAGGCGATGCGGCAGGGCCCATCTCCGTGGAGAGCAGCCTAAACACAATCTGTATTTCGTTGGTATTGAAAAACACAGGGTATAAGTTTCATAATACAACTTCTGGTGAAGAACACCAGTCTGTGGTGAAATCCTGAACCCCAGTGCTTTTATATATATACACAGTATGACTGAAGGCTTAGAGGCTTATATATATAGTGTGGATGAATATCTGGCTGAAGGCAGGGAGAGGATTGGCTGCCAGCCAAAGAGGATCGATCCGTTCTCCTCCCCAGAGGGGCTTTGAACCTCTAAACACTGCTGTGGACTGATCCCCTTTCACTACACCCACTCCCATAGCAAAACACATGGGCTTATCTGCCATCTCCATCATATACCAACGCTTGTGGCCTGTCTGATGGATTTCACACACTGCAGCTATGGCTTCTGCTGCCTAGCTTTTAAGCATTTACCTCTTCTGTATTTTCTCTGAAGATGGAGAGGTGGCGAAAAGCAGAGAGACAAGCAAGTGTGCATTCATAGAAGATAACTAAATCAGTGATCTAACTTCAGCACCATTCAAAACTTGAATGTTATTCTTAAATATTGACATACCCTGTTGGTTACTGTCATTGTGCTTTAGTCACGTTACCGCAAGAGGAATTGACTTTTGTTGTTCGTCTAGTCAAGTCAGTTTATATATATTTGCACAGTTTATAAACAACCTGCAGTTGACCAAAGTGCTTTACACAGTAAAAAGGAGACACAATGACAAAAAGACATTTTGACATGTTTTGAGCACATAAAAAACATCCAAAAGACACAACAGAGGGGAAATGACTCACTTACCAGGTAATGTTAACATAATGAATTACTTAATTGATGTACAGGTGCAAGGCAGCTACTATAAACATCACTTCACTTCCAATGGCTACACCGGCAGTTCATCAGCTGGGGGTCGACTTGTTTCACAGTTGCTTGTCCCATCTTTCATTTACGTGCTTTCCACGTTATTCCCTGACCCGATATGTTCCGATATGTTACGGTGTCGTGATTTGAATCGCATTATGGGATGTTGAGTGATTGCAGCTTGTTCTACTGACCCTGAGTGCAGGTTTAAAAAGCGTATGTTTCTCCACGCTATGCTGGCCTGTTGGAAAGAGGGGAAACATTTCTTTGATCTCTCTTCGTAGGCTATACGGGGATATATGACGTGTAGCAGCGCACCACAGAAGTTGACTTTTCGTCTCCTAGCAACGTCGGCCCGCAGATGTCATTCAACCGCTGCCAAGGGAAACTCCCACCAGGCCCCAAGCATATTTTTATGTCCAAAAAATCCTCATCCTCATTGGAAAAATGAAAAAAAAAACATATAGCTGCAGTATGTTTATAGTTACGTACATCTTTTTCTACACAAAACAAAATTTCAATTCAACTTAAAATCCTAGAGACAGAATGTAGTGTGCAATTTATGTCTTATTTTATTGTGTTTGGGTTCCCGGAGTTACAAGGGCCATTACAGTTGCTTCGGTGCGCATTGAGATGGCCCATGTGTGACTGCAGAGATAACCCCTATCAGCGGCTGTTGGCTGCTGTGTTGCCGGAGCGGGGGCTTTGTTTGTTTTGCTTCCACAGGCGTGAGAACCTCCTCTCCTCTGGCCCACTTCCCTCTGCTGACAGCCGTCCCTGACTAATTACATTGAAAACCACCAGAAAACAAAGAAGAGACGGTCATTTTCTCCTGTCTGCTTTGTGTTAAGCTGACAAACCACAGTGGTTGTGCTTGTGATACTGCCTGGAAACTTGCAGAGCATATGTAATGCTGCAGATTGTCGAAGACAGCCGTGCTTTTAGGTTTTCTTCTTTAATGTAGTTTAGCATGTAGTAAATGTGTGTGGGAACTGTTTTGGTGGTCTGTGGGAGGAAGCTGTAAAAAGGATTCCCGCTATGTACGTGCGAAAGGTCAGGTGCTGTATGCATCAGTTCTGACTGTGAAATCCCACTTGCGTCAGATGAAAGCAGAATGAGCAAAGAGTGGAGCCCGGAG